TTTTAATGGATTTGTAGAATGATTTCCACATAAATACTGTCAAGAGACCAGTATGTGTAAACCGTCTTGAATTAAAAACTTTTACATTACATTTAGACATCATATACAAAAGGGGTCTCCAACATTTTTTGATTGGAAAGCTACTTTTGTAAAACAGAAATGGCAGAGAGCGACTCTTTTTATAATAACAACGGCCAATCATGGGGAACACACATCCATAATTATTATACCATACAGTATCCCTGCATTAATGAAAACAAATAGTTAAAATAGATATGTAATGACTTAAAGAATCATTCACGATCATGTGTTAAATTCTGGAATCCTTGGGGGAGCTACCTGAAAGGGAGTGGCGAGCTTCTGGTCGCTCACGAGCCACAGGTTAGAGACCCCTGATATACACTCTCATATCAGTATCATACTGATAGGGCTCCTCCCTTTATGTGTATTAAAATATAAAACTATTCTTTTAATGCATCCAGAACTATATAAACACACAGAAACAGACATGTTTAGACATAAGTCTAATGTACATAGAACACAGGTTTAAATATGACCAAACCAAGAATAGATCCGGTTGAATGACACCCAATTTCATTCAATAAAACAATAGAATTTTTCTATGAACACTTGGCACCCTTCACTTCAGGTGATCTATTCATTTTCCCAGAGAAATGCTAAATTATTATTGGAGATTGAGCAAGGGGTCATAGGTCGGTGCTGTGTCTTGAATCTGGAGTTTTCAATCAGGGGATGATAGACTGAATTCTAATAAACCAATCAATAAAATGAATGTATGGACTGAAAAAAATGGACTTGAAACATTTTCTCTCTGTCTCTGATTTCGAGGCATATTTGATGGCATTATGTGGCTGACGAACCTCTTTAGGGTCATCCACTCAAGGTTATTGCTGATTTCCTGCTCAGTTTTCCTCAAATGCTGGTTGGTCTTACTGTGCAATTTCCGTTGTAGTAGTACATTGCAACAGAAATATCTGCCGTTAATAAGGTTTATATGTACACTACTGTACATATATGTGGTCAATGCTTTTGCCTAGTGGCCATTTATATAGAGCAGGGGACTCAATATAAAAATCATGTAAGATTTTTTTGTAAGAAAAAAATGTATGTAAGATGTTGGGTGGCTGAGTGGATAGCACTCTCGCCTCTCAGCAAAAAGGTCCTGGGTTCGAATCCCGGTGGGAACAGGGCCTTTCTGAGTAAGGTTTGCATGTTCTCCCTGTGTCTTCTCCGGTTTCCTCCGGGTGCTCCGGTTTCCCCTACCACTAAAGACATGCACAATAGGTATGAATGTTAATGAGAGAGTGAATGGATGGTGTTGATTGGGAGCTGATTATCAGACTCAGCACAGGAGACCCAACTGCGTTGCTCAGTTTCTTTTATTTTCGTGGTCAGAAAACAGGATCGTTAACATAAAATTCCCACAGAGTCTGCACATGGACAAAGACAATCTGACAGAGACAATGGGGAAGATACAGGCTTATATACACAGAGGTGAGGGCAAGGACACAGGTGTCACACATTAGGGGCGAGGCAGGTAATCACATAGGCGGGGAAACAGGGAAGAGCAGGAAGGAAGTCTAACGAGAAACAAATTTCAAAATAAAACAGCTTTACATCACAGAATATAACTTAACCAGACATGACAGTACCCCCCCTCCTAGGGCCGACTCCAGACGGCCCAGGCTGGTCAGAGTTGTTTATGTGGAAATCCCGTATCAGGTCAGGGTCAAGAATGTTCTTAGCAGAAACCCAACACCGCTCCTCAGGGCCATACCCCTCCCAGTCAACGAGATACTGTCGTCCCCGTCCCCGCTGCCTCACAGCCAGCAGCTTCCTGACAGTATATGCTGTGCCACCATCAATCAGCTGGGGGGGGGGTGGGGGCTTGACCTTCGGTACGATGGTACTTTCCACATACGGCTTGACACGACTCACATGGAACGTCGGGTGAACTCTCAGAGATTTAGGAAGCTTCAAACGTACAGCCACTGGATTCACGACCCGTGAGATGGGAAAGGGACCCATGAACTTCGGAGCCATCTTGCGCGATTCCGCCTTCAGTGGAATGTCCCGAGTAGAGAGCCAGACTCTCTGTCCAACCTGGTAAGCAGGAGCGGAGCTGCGGCGACGGTCAGCAGCCTTCTTGTAGGACTCAGAACAGCGGAGAAGCATTTGACGAGCCCGCAACCAACTCCGACGACAACGTCTCACCAAGGCCATGGCTGAGGGGACAGTAACCTCCTTTGCTAGAGCAGGAAACAATGGCGGCTGATATCCATAAACGCACTCGAAGGGGGTGAGACCTGTAGACGAAGAAGGTAGGGTGTTATGGGCGTATTCTATCCATACCAGTTGTCTGTTCCATGAAGTCGGATTCTGGGAGGCAATACATCGCAGGCCACACTCCAGCTCCTGGTTTAGGCGCTCAGACTGTCCATTGGACTGCGGATGGTAACCAGACGACAAGCTCGCCGTTGCTCCCAGCAAGGTGCAAAACTCCTTCCAGAAGGCGGAGACAAACTGCGGGCCCCGGTCCGACACTACATCCCTGGGAAGACCATGAAGACGAAAAACCTGTGCCAACACTATCTCAGCAGTCTCTTTAGCTGAAGGAAGCTTGGCCAGGGGAACAAAGTGAACCATCTTTGAGAAACGATCAACCACAGTAAGAATCACACTGTTACCTCCAGAGAGTGGTAAGCCAGTGACGAAATCTAGAGAGATGTCCGACCATGGTCTGTGAGGCACTGGGAGTGGATGGAGCTGACCAGGTGGCGCATGACGTGGGGTCTTGTTTTGGGCACAAATAGAACATCCCGCCACGTAATCCCTAACGTCCTTCTCCATAGCTGGCCACCAAAAGCGCTGCTTGACCACAAACAAAGTCCTCCTGACCCCCGGATGACAGAACATAGGAGAACTGTGGCTCCAATGGATAACACGGGAACGTAGGGGGGTAGGTACAAACAGTCGATTTGGGGGGCATCCAGCAGGAACTTGCACCGTAGACTGGGACTTCTTGACCTCCTCCTCGACCTCCCAGATGACAGCGCCAATCAAGCATGAGGGAGGCAGAATGGAGGTTGGAACCTTAGGAGCCATCTCAGGGTCAGAGAGCCGGGACAGGGAATCGGGTTTCACATTCTTTGAGCCTGGGCGGTAAGACACAGAAAAATTGAATCTACTAAAAAACAAGGCCCACCTGGCTTGACGGGAGTTCAGTCTCTTGGCGGCCCTCAGATACTCCAAGTTCTTGTGGTCCGTCCACACCAGGAATGGCAGCTCTGCCCCTTCTAACCAATGCCGCCACTCCTCGAGGGCAACCTTAATAGCCAGCAGCTCACGATTCCCGACATCATAATTCCTTTCAGCGGCCGTTAACTTCTTGGACAGGAAAGCGCAAGGGTGGAGCCGACCATCCTTCCTTGACCTCTGGGACAAAACAGCCCCTACGCCGACCTCAGACGCATCCACCTCTACCACAAACTGAAGCTGGAGATCGGGTTGTACAAGGACAGGGGCCGTGGTAAAGAGCCTCCGCAACCGCTTGAAGGCGTGATCAGCCTGGGGTGTCCACTGAAACCTGGTCTTGACAGAAGTGAGGGCATGCAGAGGGGCAGCAACAGTAGTGAAGTCTCTAATGAATTTCCTATAGAAATTTGCAAAACCAAGGAAGCGTTGTACCTGCTTGCGGGACTCGGGTATGGGCCACTCAGCGACAGCCTGGATCTTCACCGGGTCCATCTTGAGCTCGCCCTCTGCAACGATGTAGCCCAGAAATAATACCGTTCGCACATGAAATTCACATTTCTCAGCTTTGACGAAAAGCTGGTTTTCCAGAAGTCTTCGCAACACTCTCCTGACGTGCTGGACATGGGTGTTCTCATCAGGGGAAAAGATTAGAATATCATCCAGATACACGAAAACAAAAATATTCAACATATCGCGAAGGACATCGTTCACCAGAGATTGAAAAACAGCTGGCGCATTAGTTAACCCAAAAGGCATCACTAGATACTCATAATGTCCTGTGGGGGTGTTAAAGGCCGTTTTCCACTCATCCCCTTCCCTTATTCTGACGAGATGGTATGCATTACGAAGATCGAGCTTTGTGAAAATCGTAGCGTCTCTCAACAGTTCAAAGGCAGTAGAAATTAACGGAAGAGGGTACCTGTTCTTCAGGGTGATTGCATTAAGTCCACGGTAGTCGATACAGGGCCTCAGCGTCTTGTCCCTCTTTCCAACAAAAAAGAAACCTGCCCCAGCTGGAGAGGAAGACGGACGGATTATACCAGCAGCGAGTGACTTCTCGATATAATCCTCCATGGTCCGGGTCTCAGGTCCCGATAAAGAGTACAGCCGACCCTTAGGCAGAGTGGAACCAGGCAAAATGTCAATGGCGCAATCATAGGACCGGTGCGGGGGCAAGGAGGTGGCCCTAGCCTTGTTAAAAACCTCCTTCAGATCCATATAACAAGGTGGAACATGGGAGATATCAGGAAAATCAGATTCCGGACCAGTCTTGGCCGCAGAGAGAACGGCCTCAGGTAAGTCAAAACACTTCTTGGAGCACTCCACCCCCCAGGAAGAGACCCTCCCCTGTGACCAGTTGATGACCGGATTGTGCAACTCAAGCCATGGGTATCCCAAAACCAGTCTGTGCCGACCAGATTTGAACAGAAAAAACCCTAAACTTTCAGTGTGCTGATCGGGAAATGTAATCCTTACCGGCTCTGTATAGTGGGTCACTTTACTTAAGAGACGACCATCTAGGGCACTGGCTACAAGAGAATGTTCCAAGGGAATGGCCGCCAAATTAAGTTCTCTAGCCAGAGCATGGTCCATCAGGTTAGCATCAGATCCAGAATCAATCAATACGGGCATTCTACAGGAACTAGAAGGAGAGGTGAGTGTAACGAGAGGTGTGGGACGAGAGGGGTTCACAGGACCTATATGGCTCCCCAGTGCCCCCCTCTTCACTGGCGAGCCCGAGCTTTTGCCGAGCATGTGGCCTCATACGCTTCTCTCGTTCTTCGGGTGTCAAACGAGTGCTGCATCGGCTCGTCCTCTCTAGGATACGGGGGCAGGGGTTTCAGAGTTAGCTGCTCCCTGGGCTGGTGAGAAACACGGCCCCCTATACTGTTGAGGAATCCTACGACACTTCTCGTGCTCCCGCTCTATTAGCCGCCTGTCAATCTTGATAGCCAGTGCTATGAGCTCATCCAGAGTCTCAGGTAGGTCAAGGGGGGCCAGCTGATCTTTCACATGGTCATTAAGTCCATTCAGAAATGCATCGAACAGTGCAGTTGGATTCCATCCACTCTCGGCCGCTAGAGTCCGGAACTGTATAGCATAATCAGTTACTCTCTGACCTCTCTGTCGCAGCTGAACAAGAGAACGAGCAGCCTCTCTACCCGGAGTAACATGGTGAAAAATCTGTGTCAAGGTTCTAATAAACCCCTGAAGTGAATCACAGACTGGAGAACGTCGACTCCACTCAGCAGTAGCCCAAGCCTCAGCTCTGCCAGTCAAATGGGAGATAATGTAGGCTATCCTAGCTCTATTGGTTTGAAAAACTGCTGGCTGCATCTCAAAATGGAGTTCACACTGAGTAATGAAGGCGCGACAGTCCCCAGAGTCCCCAGAGAATCTCTCTGGGCGAGACAACTGTATCTGAGCTAAAGGCATGGTAGGAGGATGGGCGTTACTCACAGGTGGTACCGGTGGAGCGGATGAAGCTGCGCTTACTGAGGCTGAGTCTGGGTTGGCTTGGCTGGGACTTAACCGTTCTGCCAACATGTTAAGTTGGCTTGTGAAGGCAGCTATCATGGACTTCTGTTGGTCCGCCATCCTCTGTAAGTCGCCACGTAGTTGTCCAAGTAGTTCCTCCTGTTTGTGGATTCTGTGACCTTGGGCTTGGATGGCAGATCGAACTGGATCCTGGGTAACAGGAGTGGAGTCTGAGCCCGCTGGGTTCATGTTGGTCAGATTGTGCTATCAGACTCAGCACAGGAGACCCAACTGCGTTGCTCAGTTTCTTTTATTTTCGTGGTCAGAAAACAGGATCGTTAACATAAAATTCCCACAGAGTCTGCACATGGACAAAGACAATCTGACAGAGACAATGGGGAAGATACAGGCTTATATACACAGAGGTGAGGGCAAGGACACAGGTGTCACACATTAGGGGCGAGGCAGGTAATCACATAGGCGGGGAAACAGGGAAGAGCAGGAAGGAAGTCTAACGAGAAACAAATTTCAAAATAAAACAGCTTTACATCACAGAATATAACTTAACCAGACATGACACTGATCCGTCAATGTGTTTGGTGACTCGCTTCCGTCATCACCGTGTGTGGAATGATTGTAACAATATCTGAACTCTGAACATTGTAAAGCACTTTGGGTGACCTTGGTCTGTAAAATGCGCTATTTATGTAAACATTACTTACTTAATAATCCTGACAAGAGAGAAGACACAGGGAGAACACATGTAAAATATACTTATATGTAATGACTCATAATGTCTTTGGGGATCTACGTACCTGGAAGGGGCTAGCGAGCTACTTGTAGCTCCCAAGTCACAGGTTGCAGACCCCTGATATAGAGACATAATATTTCTACTATCTACATTTAGGACTTGGTTTAAAATGTGTCACAGATCAGTTTCAAAAGATGTGCACTGACTATTGACCCCTTGCATGTGACGTCCCGGCCACGCCCACTCTCCATGACAGACGGCAGAAGTCTAACTGCGAGCCTATGGACACCTGACCAAAACAACCTGTTTCAGCGCATTACAGCCAAAACTGTGACATTTTGCAGTGCGGTTGATTATACTAACAGGCAAGGACATAAGCTTTTTTATCTGATACCTGCTCGTCATGAAGACAGAAGACGACGATGGCCAGCGGCAATCAACCAAAAGGACTGGGACCCATCCAAGTACTCCCTAATATGCAGTGAACACTTTTTACAAGATAAAGCAATCACAAGTTTGTATTTATTTTATTTCCATTAAAATTAATGTCATTGTCCTCCAAATGGAGGACAATGACACACGTCAAACGTCTCTTACTACTGTCCTGTATGTGCGCTGCAACATTGACATTTTTATCTTTTAAGTCAATTGCGTGTTTCACTATTTTCCTCTCCGTCAGTACGTATCATGTTTGGCTGTAGACAGAAAAGCCACAGAAAAGTGGACTATTGCTAATGCTACCAGCAAAATGTACATATAAATCTGCTCCAGTGTGAGGGGATGCATTGTTAACGATAATGATAAAGATCATGTAGGGTGAATTTGGGCAAAAATAGACATTTTATTTAATCAATAAAATTGACTGGGGGGAGAAGGTACGGGTCAACATCCAGTTAGGCAATCCTTAACTTCTCCAAATACCACTCTTTGTGAGCCCAGACCTGATGTCCTACTTCCACCTATAACGTAATCGAACATGAGCTTGAAGCAGCCACTTCTCGATTTAGGAGAGGAAGCTCCGTTTTTAAGAGTTGTGTCCGTTTTGCTCTCGCAGCAAAGCTAGTTGCCAATATTTCCGCCGTAAGCTCATTCACAATCACGTGACTGGATGACGTTGATGCATCTGGTCAATAGTGACTAGTGGGCACATGATCACTTGTTTGGTGGTTTTACATCCACAAACAAACAAAATGAATCAGAATTGGTGCAGTTAAAGTGAAACAGACCAATAAGTGTGAACATGGCCACAGATATTTATAACTATGTATTCAATAGCTCGGGTCCCTTTTTTGTCATAAAAATGGCTTTCCCCAAGAAAGCCATGTGAGGACAGTCTGTTTGTTTAGCAAGCCTCGGTTTTACATATTGCTTACGTCATTGGTTATTTTGTCATGGAACCTCCAGCCGTACAGAGCAATGTGGGAGGATAAAAGCTGTTCACATAACAACATAATTTCTCTTTGAGTTGGGGGGAAAAAGGAATATTCCTGTTTCAGATAATTGATGATGCATTCATGTGAACAGAAAAACATATACAGTATGAACATGACAACAGATTTCATTTTTCATCCATGAGCCTGGTTATGGACAGGAAAGTATAACAGTGACAATTGCAATGTACTGTGCTGTTAGAATAGCTTGTCCTCTTCTTTACCTCTGCCTTTAACCTCATGATACTTGGTTTGACTCCTGCTCAACAAGAAAACAACTCCGCAGACTTCTCAATAATTCATCTGTTGTGTTGCCACATCTGTTAGGGAGATTCAATCAATTGAATATTTTAATCAGAGTTTCTGAAAGATCATTGGGCGGTTCCCATGGCGACTAACCCATTTTTCAGTGTTAATCAAGCTCATATATTGTAGGATCCATTGATTCCAATAACCTGGGTAATTTCTACCTTTCAGTTCAACTGAATTTGTTGTGACATAATAGTGTTTGGCTTTCCTGACAGGCTGTAGGTGGACGGAGCTCTGCATGAACACTGATGGATGAAGCTGACAGCTAATCTTTCCGGTAAACAACAGGTCACATCTGGCTCTGTGCACAGATTTCAAGACTTGGAGAATAACTATTATCTGCTTTAAAGAAAAAAATAAAAGGTTTACAGAAAAATAAACACTTGGGAAAAAAAACCAGTGCAATTGTTTTTCTCTTTCACATCTTGATGCCTCCTCTAAGGATTGGTAATTTAGAAATAAAACCATCTGTCTTATCAGGAGTAGGAATAGGCTCTTATTGGGAAAATGCTCTGCGCAAGATTATGACAAAGACGTCACTCCAGTTAGGAGTGACACCGTGATGAAGTGTTGAGCACTTGGTTTATTGCATTTTACCACAGGCTGTAAATATTAACGGACGTATTCCCGCCTATATCCGCCGTTCAAACTAATGTGCCACCATTTTTGGCTTCTATGGGCTTTATCAAAATAGCCACAGGGCAGGAAAATGTGAAACAAATGCGTGTGCTTATGCGTTAGCCGGCACTAGCCCCATTCATTTGACGGGTACCTTCTGAAGTCCACAGAGGCTAAACTAGACAGGTCCAAAAAAATTGACATGCATCTGGAACATAACTTTGGCAAAGAGCAACTTCCCACTTTTGGACCGTCCTGTAAAGTCAAGGTAAGTTTATTTGTATAGCAAAATTCATACTCAAGGGAACTCAAAGTGCTGAACGAAACAGGACAGCATTAAAATTATAAATAATCACAGAACATTAACAAGAAAGATACAAATATACAATCCCTGCACAGCTAAGTAGAACTGTTTTTAAACTGGTTTTAAACATTGTCAGAGAGGAGGCCTGTCTCACATCTTCAGGAAGATTGTTCCAGATTTTAGCAGCATGAATCTGAAAAGCAGTATCCCTATGTTAAGTCCTGACTCTGGGCACTAACAGGAGTCCAGTCCCTGTGCTCCTCAGAGTCCGAGTTGGTTCGTATGGGACTAACATGTCACTGATGTACTTTGGTGCGAGGCCATGGAGAGACTTGTACACAAACAGAGGTGATAAAGAGGTTTTCGAGAGGAAAGACGACGCCATTCACAAGCATCGGGTAATTCTTATTCCGGGTCCACCCCCACCGGACCCGTCCTCACTGCATTTTACATACTAATTCAATACCATATAAATCTAAATTCAGTAACTTCAGAGCCCTGCCGTCTTGTGCAATGTCTGATTAAGTAAAAGAGAAGATTAATTCATTCATTCTCATCCCCTTTATTAGTCCGAGCTGAAAATCTCATAGCACCAGCCTCTTGCTGATTCTTTTGCAGGTGGTGAGTCCCTGGGAAATTGGCGCTTCCGTCAACAAAGACACAAACTTGGTCTTTCAGCAGAGGATACAGACAAAGTGGGGTTAAGTGTCTTGCCCAACCCATGACCATTAAGTTGACCCCCCCAAAAAGAAAATATATTATATAATTGATTTAACCCTAACCTATCCTGTTAGGGTTCTCTCCACTCCACATCTTCTGCTCTCCTCACTGTCCTCTAGGTCAAAATGGCCACACTCAGAGCCAGAGCATTTCGCCACTCTACCCCTAAACTCTGTAACACCCTTCAATTCACCTGCAACTATTAAACTCTCTGGATGGACACTTTCAAATCACAACTCAAAACCTACCTTTTTAATTTGGCTTATTCATGATATTTTTAATACATTTTATTCTGTTTTTTTGTATTTTGTGTGATGTTTTTTATTATATTGTAAGATGTCCTTGGGTCTCACAAATGGCGCCATCAGACACATTTTATTATCATAATTATTTTTTACCTGCATTTACCACTAGATATGTACCGCTCCAGTCAAACTATAAAGGGCAGATTACGAATGTAGGAAATGTGAGGCTGTTCTGTACCTTCGTGATTTCGTTTGAAGGTATTAGCACATAAATAATGCATACTTCCACTGGTTTTATAATAAACAGCAGAAATCCTAATGTGAGTCGCTTGTGAGTGGATGCCTTGAGTGTAGATGACTCATGCGGCCAGATGAAGGAGATCATAGCCTGAACTTGCGAGACCATAACAGACCATAACAAGTGTGTCGAAAACTGAGCCAACAACACCTTGATTAGAGTGTGCCCGCAAGGTCATGACCACAGCACATCAAGAATATGTTGGAAAAGGCAGGAGATCAATAAATAGCTACAGCCTGAAGAAATATGTGTTCTGCAAGAAAATGTACGGGCATGAACATGTTTTATTGCCTCGATAGACTCTAAGCCTAAGATCTATACCTTTAATACCCTTTCCAGTTTACACAGTTATTGCCTTGAGTCCGCAGTAATACCCTCAGCTTTAAAAACCTGAACTATTTCTACCTTTTTGATTAACATTATGTTGTTTGATATTCACTTGAGTTCTAGTTATTTTGATCCATTTTATTTGCAATAGATGAAATAAATGGTGTATACTAGTGCCGTAGGAAAGAGTTCCACAGAAAATAATACTTCACTGCAGACTGTAGGAAATTATTTCTGTCAAGACTTT